ATGTGTTACATAATAGAAGTATGATACATATTTTCCTTGCGCAGTAGTAAGTCAGTAAAGTGGTTTATTAAAAAAACCATTCAGACTTGCACCAGCATTAAACATTTCCTGCCATACACATACTCTGTGTTCCCATTGGCTGGTTAGGATGTTTTCAACAGGAGTGCTATTAAATCACTGTGTTGTGAGTGAGACCTCCACAGACCTGCTTCCAGGAATTCTGCTGTCAGAGGCCCCGCTGACAAGAGGCTTAAACCAAAGAATATACACAGCGCTGTCACACAGACATACATCACTGCACTATTGCAGGCAGGGTTTGCAGTGGTTGGTTCAGCCTTATGCATTTTATTTTCGTAGTTTACTTATCATCATAAGCAAGTGATGTTTGACAGCTGCCTGGAGGAGGTCACTCACTTTGTTTTTTTTTCTTACCATCACAGGCTCACCAACACTAACATCATCCACAAAACTCCCGAGTGGACCCTCATAGCCGTTGTGCTTCTCCATCTGTAAGTCTACAGTGTGTCTGTATGTGAATGTGTTAGTTCAGAGTTAAAAGGATGCCCCACGACAGCTGGACAGTCTGCTCCTCAGCTGGCCCAATGTTAGAGAGAGAGAGAGAGAGAGAGAGAGAGAGAGAGAGAGAGAGAGAGAGTAATGAGCTATATGACAAGGACATTAAGGACCATTGTTTCCCAGGAAATACACCCTGTCAGCAAACTCAAAACCACAGTTTTTCAAGTTTTTCAGTTCCTGGGTGTGTGTGTGAGTACACAAGTGGGTTTCTTATATCAACTGTAGCTTATAAAGGATAAGCTAAACTTAAGTAAACCAATATAAATAAAGCTGAAATAAACAGCAGCCAAACTATTATGCAGGACGTGATCGGATGAAAAAACTCCACATTAAATCATTATATTAGTGTTATATATTCTATAACTATGTTATGCTATAATTTTCTGTTGTATTAACAGATTCATATTGTGCTAAAATCAAAGCTACACAACAGCTTTGTAAATTTGTGCACAACTATTCTGGTCTGCATTAAAAGAAGAAAACAAGTAAACTTTCCCAACTGTCACCTGAAATTCTCTTTTAACTTCAGAAGATCCTGTTGGATTTGACAAGATGCTATATGGTGTGGCACCATATGGTCTTGTGTGTGTGTGTGTGTGTGTGTGTGTGTGTGTGTGTGTGTGTGTGTGTGTGTGTCTGACAGTTCATGGACAGTTCCGTGCTGCTCCCGTCTAAGTACACACAGACGCCTCATGGCCTTATCTCCACATGATTGCCCCTCTCCAGATCCGTGATACAGGACAGAAGGCATACACAAGCAGACCTGTACACATTCAAGTTACACACACACACAGGCATTTCTCTGTATACATCCAAGCAAAATAAATGCTTTCAGTTTCCCCGGCTGGGAAGACTTACACCTGATTCCTGACTGACTCAGATTACTCTTAAAATAAGGGCTGCAAACTCTTCCCTAAAACAGTCTTACGTAGAAATTATTAGGCTGCAAAAGTGAGATGCTTTTCACCTAAATTATGTTGAAAATCTCTAAAAAGTAGGGCAGTTTGAATTGTTTGACATATCTCTGGATGAAAAACAAAAAAGGTATTATGATAAAACTTTGATCCATGTGGGAAAAAAGAGACGAGATTGGTTATCTGTGCACTGTTTGACCTGATTGTAGGTGTTTGTAAAATTGACAGTTGATGTTGAGAGATAAACATTTAAAACCACTGCCTCTAAGATTTGATTTTATCTAACCGATGAACCACTGAACAACCTTTATTTGTTGCGTGTAATAGCTTATCATCAATGGACTTTGACAGTTGGCTTTTATTTGATCCACCTTTGATAATCGGCCCTTTTGGAAACATTTATTCTCTTTGTCACATGTCCCACTGGTACTCTATGATTTCATTAGTTCCCATTTAACTTCGAGCTTCTCAATCCTTCCATTCCTCCATCATGAATAATTTGGTGCGCTGTCTTATCTATCTTCTGCATGGCAGCTGTGGAGCTAGTCTGGCCTCTATTGTTCAGGCCAGCTGAATAATGGATGCCCCCCCTGCAACACTAGACCCTGGGGTGAACTGGAGATTAACCAGCAGTGCACCTCCACACAGGTAGACAGGACAGGTAGAGGAGGAGGGATGGGGGGAGGGAGGAGGAGAGGGTTAGAGAGGTGACGGAGATCAGCTCGAAGGTTGGACACAGTGGATTTAGAGCTGGAGGTAAACACTTTTTATGTAAGAGTGCTGGATTTGATAGATCTTGACACAGTTTCTACAGATGTGAAATGCCATGTTACTGCAGGCACAACCACCAGGGACACATACACATAGCTGAAGCAGTCCGATACAACAACCTACCTCAATGAAGTTTATAATGTCCACTCTTTGTTGAAACTGTCTTACCAACAACACCACAGACTGCAGCCTCCAAAATAATCAGATCAACACCCCTCTAAAACACTGAAAACTGAACATAACCTCAAGGTCAAAGGTAGGATTGACTGCACGACTGTTGCATTACAGTTAGGTGTACCTAATAAAGTGGGAACTGTTTGTACTTAGACTTACTGTGTATGTGCAGCCAAAAGCGCACTCACAGCTAAAACACACACTTGGCTAGATGTGTGAAAGTGTAGCTAGCTGTATGTCGTGTGTGAGGCGTTTTTAAAATGTTGAAGGCTATCAGAGATGATTCATATAAAGAATCCCCTTCAAACATTTATTAAGACATATTATATATATATATATATATATATATATATATACAGTATATACAAATGATCAACTTGGAACAATTATGTGTGTCTGATACAAAAAATTTCCACATTAACATCCTTTTAAAAAGGGATCTACTCCTTCTACCTCATTTAAAATGTATAATTCAAGTATTGAAAAACGTGCTTTCTAAAGTTTTCTGCTGGACACAAGATGTCTCATGCTTCACTGTAAAGTCCATTCTCGGTGGATGTGCACAGTTCATGCTGGTAGGCCTTGTCCCTTAAAATCTGATTTTCAATGAGCTGTGCACAGACATCATTCAAACATCACACTGTAGGAACAAGAAGAAAAACTCTGTATGAGGACTTACATCTTAAGAAATAAATATATAGATTGTAGATTGTCTCATCTCAGTTTAACAGGTTTTTACGTTAAATTGAGATATTATTGGATCCTTCGGTTTATCGTGGAGTGTTTCCGAAACCTGGATATTGTAGCTGGAGTGCTCCGAAATAAAACCATGGTGCTGCGACAGATAAAACACATGATCCAGATGGTTTCTGAACTGAGATGTTCAGGAACCAAGACACAACTGCACACAGACTATCAGAAACCTGGATACTGTTATGATCATGTATACCGGTAGATTAATAACAAGGTTTCTCATGTTCCATGTAAATGCTGAATAAGACTCATGGATACTGATGTGCACACACTCTGTTTAATTTTGTTGAGTAAAAACAAGCACACACTCGAATCTATGTTTGTCCCAACAAAGTTATCGATATGACTCAGTAAACCTTTACTTCTAGAGCAACCCGGGTCAGCACTCGTCACCATAGAGTGGATCCTGTGACAGATGTGATGTTGATTATAAACTGAAAAGCTTAAAAACAACTTCCATTTTTGCGTCTGGTGCGTTTATAGGAATCTCTAACAACAGCCTGTGTGTGTGTGTGTGTGTGTGTGTGTGTGTGTGTGTGTGTGTGATTGTGTCTAACTTTGTGTTTCAGGTTGTCAGAGGTGTGTCCGGTGGTGCGAGAAGCCTTGAAGGTGCCAGCTTCAGTGGAGTATTTAAACACACTGATGGAGGAGCTCGGCCTACAGGAGCAGGACCTTCTGAACCTAGTCCGGCTGTTTAAAACCCCGGCACACTGACACACACAGCCAGACATGGACGTATGAATAATGAATATACACTCAGGATCTCGGACTGAATGAAATAAATGTGTGTGTGTGTGTGTGTGTGTGTGTGTGTGTGTGTGTGTGTGTGTGTGTGTGTGTGTGTGTGTGTGTGTCTGTGTGTCTGTGTGTCTGTGTGTGTCTGTGTGTGTCTGTGTCTGTGTCTGTGTCTGTGTGTCTGTGTGTTTTCCACAAATAAAGTTGCTTATAATAAGTTTTAAAACAAAAGCTTGTGTCATTTTATAGTGTGCCTTTATGGGAGTTAACTAGGATTTCCAAGGATTCTGCAGGCTCTCTTACTGTTGATATTGTGTAGCAGTGTTACTGTATGTGCACAATCTGTGGCGAGATATGTGCAAATCACATCCTTGAAGTTTTAGGGCCCTCTGTGTTTAACCTCTGCAGGGCCAAACAAATCACACCCAGCTTTTTCCCAGTTAAAAACGCCATGTGGACACGCTGCTTATTGCTTTGCTTCTGCTGTAATAAAAGTGACGCCATTTCTCCCGACTTCCTTCACATGCAGGTTTATGGCACCATAATGTCATTTGTTATATGGGTATGTTAACAATGCGTGTGTGAAAATATTTGGTTTTGACCAGGTGGCGCACGCAACAAAACGTTTTTCTATTTAATAGTGGAGATATAACTTTGACCTGTCATGCAGATTGGGGGACGTGATTGATGGCCTGCGTGGCTCAACACAGCTTCTCGTTTTTAACAACGTACCAGCAATCAGTGGGTCGAGGCAGAGAGGAGGATGTTTTTAGAAATGTGTTCAGTTTTTAAAATCTGTTATTGTGGATTAAAAGTGGGGGGAAAAAATCTAGATTGTGGATTGAAAATGAGAAATTATGAGAAATGTTTTATTTAAAATAGTAATTAAATGTAGATGGACTGAAACAAAGGCTTGTCAATTCATAACTGAAAAAACTGACAACTGAGCTCCAGAAGTTAATGTTTAATCCCTGACTGTATAACCAATTGACTAAATTGAAAAAGCAGGATTTCTACTGTCTTAAAGTAGAATTTGGGCTTTTAAAAGTGAAAGAATAACAACGTTGCAAATTCATGTGAACTATCTATAGGTACATTTTTATTATTATTATAATAATGTAAAAACAAACGCGATAAATAAATTTTCATTTCCATAAAATCAACCAAAATATTTCAGGCTAAGTATTTAACTACATTCAACAATAGGAAAAAGAAGGTCAACGCATAAAACCATAGAACAGAATAAAACACGACCGTCCATATGTACAGTCGGAGTACATTAAAAGTGCAGGATTCCAGCATCCGAGTGTGCTCATTTGAGTCCGTGCTGCGTCTCCTTGTGTCTCCTCAGGTCCACTTTCCTCTGGAAACCTTTCCCGCAGAGGTCACAGCCGAAAGGTTTGAAGCCTGTGTGTTTCCTGCTGTGCGTGATGAGGTTAGAGCTCTGACTGAACGCCTTCCCGCACACCTGGCACTTGTGCGGCTTCTCACCTGCAGAGATCACACGGTTGGAAATGTCCGTTTACGCACGGTGAGTCATTTATCGATAACTTTCACTCGGCGCAGTGTCTCACCTGTGTGGATGAAGGTGTGTTTCTTCATGTCCGACTTTTGGTGGAACCTCTTCCCGCAGTACTGGCACGGATAAGGCCGCGTGTCCGAGTGGATGAGCAGGTGCGTGGACAGCGTGGAGGAGCGCTTGAAGCTTTTACCGCAGATTTTACAGCTGAAGCTTCGCTCCTGTAAAATATGTAAAGTGTCAACGTGGAAGGTCTTAAAGCATTAAAATACAGTGGGCCTAAAATGTCGGACTGGTTGGTAGGGCTGTGCACGCTATCTGGGGCCTCTGTCACCAGGATGTGGGCCCGGAGGCCTGTGGGTTTATATAGCAACAGTCTGTTACCTGCGAGTGAACCGCTCTGTGCTGGTCCAGGCTCACTGCGTGTCCGAAGGTTTTCCCGCAGATCCCGCACTCAAACGGGCGTGTCCCACTGTGCGACCGCCGCACGTGGACCTCCAACCCGTGAGGCGTGGAGAACACCTTTGGAAAAATAGACGGATGATATTTTTACTTCAAAATTAAGCTCAAAATGAGGGGAAATATATAGTAATCATATCATTTGAGAACGATCCTCCACAAATATGTCATTGCCAGTTCATGGTTGAAATCACATTTTAATTAAACTTGATGTTGTATCAACAATAAAATCTAACTCAGGCCCTTTGTATCTCTGCAAACTCAAACAATAATGTGTCAGTGAACGTACCTTGCAACATTTAATGCACTTAAATGATCCACTTGACTCGACGTTAGAACAAATAAAGTCACGTTCAGTCTTGATTTCCGCGCCGCGGGCTTTCTGCTTTACATCCCGATACAGCTCGTCTCCGTCCCGCATCCTGCAGATTTGGTGTCCCGTTGAAGAATAGTCCTGGTGGCATCTGGCCACCGGGCCCCGCTGTGCGTAAAGCGGCTCGGTGCCGCTGTCCTCCGCGCCGTAGATGCTGCCGGGTGAGTGAGGCTCCCTGTGGCCCTGGAGGTGGTGATGGTACGGTCCCTGAACCAGATGCCTCAGCTCAGAGCCGGAGTACGCCGTCCAGGAGTAAGGAAAGAGCGGGATGTTGAAGTGGTGACCGTCCTCCGCTGCTGGAGTGGAGCATTTCTCTGAATCTGGAAGTTGATTAGGAGTTAGTGTGAGTGGGTATGAGTGCGGTCTGCAGTTCATGGCGTGTCTTTAAATGTGATCATTGGGAAGTTGCATTGGGCCTTACTGAAAATGACTACGTGACCTGCGTAATACTACAATAAACAACGGAAACTCTCAGGTCCTCGCATCAAAATGTTGCGCCTTACATATATTAAACTGATTGTTGTGTGCAAGAAGTAAAATGTCTGATGGAAGATTTTTTACTTCGTTCAATAAAACCAATAATTAAATGCAGATCAGGAAGTCTACCTATCAATTAACATTATGTCCTGTCCCTGGATGCCTCTGTTTTGTCTCAATTTGCTCGATCTTTGTTCCACTTCATAATAATCCAAACTATAACATCAGAATTTACTGGAGGTGTTAACAGTGCTGAAAATGATTTTACCAACTCATAAAGCCGATCTATGTCAACTGTTGAAAACTACATGTTGAAGTTAAGCTCACTGGTCTAATAATAACGACACAGTTCACACAGGCCTAACGCTGTACTGTGCAGTGTTTTTTTTTAAATACTCCTGTGACACTTCTGAAAACAACAATAGAAAAAGTCCATATGTAAATCTATCTGAACAGACCTGGTGAGGAGGAGGGAGACGGGGGACGCCAGAAATCACAGTCGGAGGATCGGTCGCACACACTGCCTCCGCAGCTCAGCGGGGAGCTGGAGGACAGCGACCCCGGGGACAGCAGCCTGGACCCGGGGGACAGCCTGTCAGCGCCGGCGCTTACATCCTCCTGTGGCTCCAAGTTGGACTCAAACTCCGCCTGAGATTTGCTCTCTAATAACAACAGAGGATTGCAATAAAACGGACTGACTGTGCAACAGGTGTTTATTTGTAGAGGAAATGTTTTCAATTTTAACTAAGAAGATAGGATGTGAATAGTTTCCTTGGGGACAAATCCTTCTTAGTGCTGTTTCATCCATCTCCGTGCGTAATTACGCAAAAATGAACCTACCTGCGCCCACGTGAGCTAGTATAGTGTCCAGTCTACTGTAGTCATCGTCCAGGTAGCGGGGCTGGTGGTAGCTGTGGGCCCTTTTACTCTTCACCAGGAAAGACCTCGGCATGTTTTCCTTCTTTCAGGTCTGAAATCCTCCACTTCACTTCACTCCTCTCCACGCTGCTCCGTCTTTATCTCTGGAAAGATTGGAACACTATTGGTTGACAGGCGAGACGGCGTTAGGATTTTGGCAGGCTATTACGCATGCGCAAAGAAGCTGTATCGTTTACCAGGTGTCGCGGGGAAGGTGGCCAAAAGCCAGACCACCGTCCCCCCCCCCCCTCGAAGATCGGATTGGGATTGGAGAGGACATATTGTGTGTCCTTAATGGTATAGCTGTATGTGACGGCGGCTGAATCACATAAGAAGAAGTTTAGCGAGATGTTTTACAACCTATAGAGTTTGCTAAAAGACTTATGTTGGCTTAAATGTTTATTATCTACATTGATTAGTGGGATATTAATTCACTGATAATTAATGATCACAATGTATACTATGATGAAACCAAGGAAACTAAGATTATTTCTTAAATCATATGTTTCTATTCGGATAAAGAGTGTTTTCTACTTTATATTAATTTATAAATAGTCCTTAAAGGTCGTTTAAACATCGCAAGAAATGAAATTACTACCGAGATTGGATTCGTGCGTTTACCAGTCTGTAACAATGGTTGAGATTTGTATAACAAGCCTAAACTCTAAATTAATTGCAATCTCTACACAAAAGTGGTCATTTTGGACTCAAATAAAGGCAGGTGATTCCAAAACAGGCCTGTAGTGATATGATTTGAGTGTGATGAGACATAAAATGTGTGTTTGCGGATGGTCCCATGCAGGCTGTGCAGGCTGCGATGGATAATGACCTATTTGTTTGACTGCTTGTAAAGTGATCCTGTTAATGAGACGCGCACGGCCGCTCTGCACAACAGCCTGCCGGTGGGGAGCCGAAGTATCCCTTTACAGTTACACTGCTTCAGCTTACCCGCACTGACTTCAGCCTTATTGTTTTACATCATTAAAGCCCCCTCCCGGCCCATACACAGGCCCAATTAGGCTATCCACTGAAAGAAATACAGGATTAGTGCCAAGTGGAATATTATTAATAAGGTCAATTAAATCCACATACAGCAAAAAACAAAAACAAAAAAAAGTTGTGAGTAGAAATCTGTCAGGCTCAAAATCATAGCGAAGATTTGGGCTCTGTTCAAGGTCGGACCAAAGCAAAGCGGTATCGATTTTTGCCCGATGTGGGAACCCAGTTTGTTTGATGCAGCTGCAACAAGTTAGAGACCTACAAGCAAAGCGCAGATAGCTGAGGCATAAAGCTGAAACACATGTCCCATACTCACACAGACAGCACTGACGCTGCAGGCACCCGGGCTCTCAGAACACACACTGTCCTGAACTCTGTCCACATTTAGTCTGAATGTCAGAATATCAGTCACAGGCTGCAGAGAGACACACCACAAAAGCCTCAGTCCCTCATACTGAGACACACACTATCTCTCTCTCTCTCTCTCTCTCTCTCTCTCTCTCTCTTTCTTTCTTTCTTTCTTTCTTCCTTCCCCTCCCTCCTTCTCTGAGAAATGCTCAGTTAGTCAGCCGTGACATCAAACAAAAACACTGATTCATGTTTTGATAAAATAGTTTAGAATCTCTAGACATTTGCATTGTACAAAAATAGATCACATCAGATCAAAAGTTGCCTTGTAGAATTTATCTCCTTTCATTAGGAGCTTTCATTCCCATGTGAAGCCATTTTCTTAACTCTTGGTGGAATTATAAACAGAAATGTTCAATCTTTGACTCATTTAACGTAAGACCACATTTATTATCTGTGATTGGCACTTTTCTGATGACTCTGATCACGCCTGCACTTTACTTTCATTTCTTTCTATTCTGAAATTTTGAAATGTCTCACAAATAGTCCACAAAAGTTGACAATACTGGAATTTCTAAGAATCAGTTCTCACCTCTCCTCCCACCAATGAGTAGACAGCAGTGATCTCTCAAACAGTATGAGCAAAGACAAAACATCCCTAGTTTTCCTAGAAGAATTTGGAGAATCTGGACAAAAAAATCTCTACAAAATATGGCAACATACAGTATGCAAATATAAACAAATTCAACATGTTCCCCATAGAGCATGGTTGCCCAGTCACCTCTTATGAAATATACTACTTATGAAATAGATATTTCAGTAAATGCTTTCAGTTATTACTTTAATCAAGCGGCGGATTGACAGCTTTCTGATTATTCTCATAAAGAGAAAAAAAAACTATAGTGAGAGAGACGCCGTGGAGGACAGGGTCGATGTGACAACGTTCAAACTCAGGGTTACACACTGACTCAGAACAGGAAACCAAATGCAGAGTCGAGAAGACGCTATCAGTGTTGCCACAGCCTCCTCTTTTGTCTCTGTGTATCCCCCCCTCCTCCTCCTCAGCCACCACCTCCACCACCTCTCCCCCACAGGCCTTGATTCTCGCTCTCTAAGTCTTACAGAAAGTATGTGATTGAAATAGAAGCCCAATCGCAGCGATCACAGGAGACCAGAGGAGAAGGTGAAGAGGTTTTGGGTGGTGGTGGTCTTGTACTTTTGCTTTTCACAGCAGCAGTTGTCTACCTTGTCAAAGGTGCAGATCACAGTTACAGTGTTAAATAAAGACCTGTGCTGGTGAGCCATGAGGTTATTTTCTCAAGCTCAACACGGGCCCCTTTTCAGCCCTTGCGAGGATAGAGAGAGACTGTGGGGACTCCTCGTAGTTTTAAATATACCTGAGGCTGCAGCTTTCATACCACATGTATGTGAATGTTGACAAGGGGAGCAGAGTGCGCGGCAACTTGTCAATGTGTTGTCTTGATTTTTGACTCGCTGCAATTCAGTTCAGAGCGAGACTTTAACGTTAGCTAAACGGTGACCAATGTGTCTATATGTGACAAGAAGGGGACAGTGATAAATGCATACAGGAAACTGGTGCACTGATGACTGTTACATAACAATATTGAGCTAACGTTAGCCTCCATAAGCTACTAGTCATACCAGACCAGATAGGGCTATAGCAGCAAAAGCTATAAAGTGTATTGAAATGGGCAAAGGTGTGTTTTATTTCTCATGAATTCAACTTTTAATTTGCGAAAACATAAAAAGTCTCACTTTAAAGGTAATTGGAGTCAGAAATCTGAATATTCATAGGTATGTTTTCATTAGTGTAAAATCACCTGAATAAAACAATTGCTGGGTTGTTGTTACCTTAGAATGAACAGTTTTTATCTACAGCGGGAGCTTTTTCCGCTGGTTTTGCAGCCACCATAGTTTCTCCTTCACGCTTGGAACAGGAGGTAAGGCGAGGGAGTTCAAATCTGCAACTATACCGCTAGATAAATCTGACACACTGAACAGCAGCAACAAGGCATTGTGGACAAAAGCGGTAGTGTTTTCATTGTTCTTCTCACTGAGGCTCTTGTTTTTTTATGTTAACCATATAGAGGCATAAGTAATAAACTGAAACTGTTTCATAAGCAGTTACAAACTCCTTCTAGTATATTTAAGTCAGACTTGACAAAGCGGAACTAAAGCAGATTTTGTTCTTAAAATAATAAAAGCATGTGTATAAAAAGTCATTCAGTCCAGTTTTCTGTAGTTCCAGAAATTCTGACTTTAGAAAAAAAAATGTAACCGCTGACCTTTTATTTGCCATACAGCAGATTTCTTTGCTCAATATACTGCGTGCAATGGATTCATGCCATAATAACTAATTGTGGCTAAACTGACTTCCACTGGTTCATGTCTCTGTTTAGTGCCAGGCACTCAGCCTCTGTGTTCACCTCTTCACCTCCACTCTGCTGTGGCATCTCAATGAAAACCACATCATGCTATCTCATCCCCTCACAGGTTCCTTTGGCTCCAGTACTCAAACCACAGTGTGACAACCCCCTCCCTCTCACTTTTAACTATCTCCGTCCTTTTCCTACCAGCTTTAATCTGATTTCACTCCTTTTCCTCGGGTTCAACTGCATGCAGGAGTGGCTGTCCGAATCTCATCGAGCTCTCAGCTGGCCCCAACTGCAGCCACCAGATAGGGCCAGAGTGTGAACACAATGAATGATTTACTGGACGCTGCTGACCGCAAGACAGTTCTTCTTTCACACATGGGGTCCTCAACATCTTGTTTTTTTCTTGCTTCGTCTCGCTTAGAAATCTTGTCATCCTGCAGCAGTTTGAGTTACTGTAGATTGATTTGATTTATGTCAATGTTTTTTATTTGTTAGGGTGATTATTCTGCTTTAACTCTGACTTCCGCTTGTATGATCATGTAGCCAAAAGATCTTTAAAACCTTGGTCAAGGGTCAGCATGGCTACAAGTTCTAAGAAAAAAAAAGTGTGAAAAACGGAAGACGCACTGAAAAGAAACTCTCACGTTTTACTAAACAGATGCTTGGATTTATGCTGTAAACACTCCACAAATCACCTTCCTCATCCATCACTGTGATCAGCAGCTCCCCTTGTTTGCAACCAGCCTGCTTCTGGTTGTAAATTTCCCTCTCAAATAGTAAGAGTCTCATCAGGGACTTTGTTGCATGGATGTGAAGAAACCTGCTCGGTGCTTCCTGGTCATTGTGTCTCTGTGCATATCTGGGGGCTGAAGCGGCAGTTTGAAAGGTCAGAGTTCAACAGGCATAGTCAAGCCTTAATAAGCCTGTGGTTCATATGTGTCTATGCTTTTATTTAATTCCTGTGTTGTAATTACCTTTCACAGCTTTCAGACCACTTTCAACTCCAACAGACTCCGAATGAACCAAATTTATCCCCCATGTTTTGCACTGTTACGAGCGCCAGTTTATTTTAGCTGATGCTCTAAAATCTGTAATCTGTCTGTTGTACATATTTTTTCACACAGAAAACACCACTCTGTTTGTTTCTACAAGGGGTGTAAAATACTGGTGGCATGGGTGGAGAAAAATGCAGGCTGGGCTTTCACACAGAAGCTTCATCACAGCACCATCTATGCTGTTCCTGAAATATTCTGTCTGGTGTTAAAGTTAGCAGAACTCAATTTAGCTTCAGCAGAACTGATTTGGTTTTGCTGAGCATGTGTCGCTGTATGTCATGCAGCACAAAGAACTTTTAACAACACTGTATCCATATCAATCTAACACTGAAATGTGTGATTAAAAAAAGTATTGATAGTTTAATTAAGTATATGCATGCTGCAGATATTATCTTTCTTGAACTTCAAAATGTCTCTGTATGCAAATTAAAATAAATGCAATCAGCAGTGAGAAAAACAGGCAGGAAAGACAAGTGTGTTGCTTGTTAACAGAGCACTGGCTTCTTATCTGTGGTGTGCCTGTGAACACATTTGTTGATGTGTGACTTTCTGCAAGTCATTTCTAGTCCACCATAACCTCAAAGTGATCTTCTGTCAATTCTGTTTTGTGACTTTTCGGATGAAAACATGGGCAGGCAGCACAGGAAATGATTACTGAGGGACCTCCTTGTTGGTATTACATCAAAAAGTAAATTATCAAAATTTAGGACATGAAAGTAAAGCTCAGAATGAACTCAGGAAATCACCATCTTCAGTAGAGCAGACAAATGTGCTACCAGTATCACCCCTTCATCCACCCACCACACCCTCCACCCCCAGTGTGAACCCTTATTAACCGATGACCACTGCTGCCGAGGGATGACTGGACAGTTGCTTCTCTTCATTGTGAAATCAGTTCTGCAGAAACAGAGCGTGAACGGTTGCGTTAAAGCTGTCCACAATAGTGACTTTGACTTTTCTTATCTAACACTGAGAACATCTGCACCGAGAGTGACAGTGAGGGATATTATCTATCTCGCTTGAACAGAAAAGCAGAAGATTCTGGTTCCCTATTTTCAGTGCTTGTTGATAGAGTTAAGAGATAGACTAACGCTGAACAACTGCTTCATCATTTGACAAAGTAATCGTTAAAGGATTATTTTAAACACAGCAAATTTATAGAAAATGGACAGTTGACCATTTTATGAAATGAAGAATTGTACACAGTTCTTAGTGAAATGCAGCCAACTGCTGTGTTAGTCCTACTCAAACTGCATGTATCACACAATATTTCAGGTCTAAACTACATCCCCTCAACAAATAACTAGCTTTTAAATCACTGGTGGCTTGTAGACTAACTTTTAACTCTAGTATGTCCTGTAGTTATGCACATTTGTACTTCTTCTTTACTTGAGTCATTCAATTCATTCAATTTTATGCTACTTTAAAGGAATTTGGGGAAATACACACTTTTGCTAAGAGTTAGATGGGAAGATTGACATGACTCTCATGTCCGTAAGGTCAATATGAAGCTAGATCCTGCAGCCGGTTAGCTTAGCTTAGCATAAGGCTGGAAGCAGGAGGAAACAGCTATTCTGGCTTTGTTTAAAGGACACAAAATCTGTCTTCAAAAGCTCACTAAT